AATAAATAATCATTGAATATGATTTTATATTTTTGATCATATTTTTTGTTATATTATATAGGTGATATTTTATAAATAAATGATTAATCCCCTAAAAATGATTTAGGGGATATTTATGATTCAGGGATATGTTTTTAGTCATGAAATCAACAGAAAGAAATAAATTCAAAAGGACAGTACTTTATTTGTATTAATTTTTTAGATTCATTTAATGTAATGAAAATATTCAACCCAGTTAAGATCCACATTTACTTCTCAATGCACTAACTTTTATTCTGTCTGTCTTTCGTCAGCAAAAAATTGTGGCCACCAGTGAAATATTAACATAATTTATACGTTGTTTTAATAACAAATATCGTAAACCTATTTCCCCTTATTACAAGCTGCGCTTCGGTGAAAAGTATAGAAGCTACTTAAATAGGATAATATTACAGTGATATGCATAATAAAATTTACGATCAAATGCATGAGCTTCTGACAATGAAGGGCTTATCAGTTAAGCTTTACACCTAACGATAAGAGATCCTGATATGAAGTAGTCTATAGCACCCTCTCTAATTATGCAGGGTGATACACGGAGACTTACTGATTTGAAAACTCAATAAAAAAAGAACTAGTAAAGATATTATTACAATACAAATTTTATTGGAAAATAAATTACCTGAATTTTTATATCATTTAGTTTCAAGGGTGACATTGGACAAATGAGCGCCCTTATTATCAATGCATTCACTTAGTCGATTTTTGAAGTTCCGTTCAACTCGCTGAAGCATTGACGGGTATGTTGGCTTTGGTTTGGCGTATGTTGTTCTTTTAAATGAAGTAGAGTACTTGGACAGTCATTATAAACAATTGATTTAGGAAAACCCTATATAAAAATCGCACGGAGCAAAATCGGGGGATTGGGTCGGTCAGAGTAAGTCAGCTCTCAAGAAGATGAGGTCAATACCCGTCAATTTGCTTCAGCGAGTTGAACGGAATTTCAGAATTTCAAAAATCGACTAACTGAATTCATTGACAATGGGAGCCGTCATTTGTACGATGTCATCTATAAAACTAAATGATACAAAAAATTCAGTTAATTTATTTTTCAATAAAATTCATATTGTACTGATATCTTTACTAGTTCTTTTTTTATTGGGTTTTCAAAAGAGAAAATTTTCGTGAATTGCCCTGTGAATACCGCCAAAGCACTGAAGGCCGACGTCAAAGTTAGCCTTCATTATTAAGATCTTACAATAATTTTATATTAATTACTTTTAGATTGAAACCTGGAATTAAAATTTAACCCACGAAAACTGGATAAATTCGAATTTCATGCCTGTTATAACTTAGGAGGCTGTTGCTTTGATGCCAAAGAAGGAACACAAATAGTTCAAAACACAGCATATGTTTGACTTATGATACCTGTTCGTTTCGAAAATGTTATAAAAAATTATGTGTACACATTGCATCTATAAGCAAGGAGTAAAGCGAGGAAAATAATCAAACAATGATTTATGTACCGGCATCTCAGAGGTAGGAATGAGATCAGCGAAAGAGAACGCACATACAACACGAGACACGCACCGCACGGCGTCTGAGCGCCGACTGCCGTGCAGCGAATGAATGCACGCTGCGCTCGTACACGGGTCACCGCTTGTGAATGAACTCGCCGTGCACCCTGCGTGCTCTCACCTCGACTGTTATTGGCTGAAAAAAAATATTTATACTATTTATAGTGTACTACTTATATAAAATAGAGTTTAAATTATCACTTTTTATTACTTGTTTCAACTCACGTTTGAAACAATAACTTCGGGCATTCAAAACAATTGTCGTGATTGAACAATTTGGTCATATAATTTGAAACTGTGTTATACTTCACTGTGTATACTCCTTGACACTGTGTATATCCTCCACTTTATTACTTGGAATTCAGTTGCACTTTTCTGTATCAATAGTTTCAATCGGTACGGCTTGAAAAGAAGTTTGTTTCTGAGTAGTTGGGCATGTGGGCATGAGATTATCATGGTAATTATAGCACAAGAACAAAACATAATCAAGGGACAATATTAAATGACATTCAACAATATCATAACAAATCAAGTACATGTCTTACCAGGACAAAGCAACTGATACGATACATGGCCATTCGAATAAAGACAAAATTAGGCATTAATCCCTTTATTCTCCCTAATAAATTTTTATCTTCAATTAGGGAAAGGTTCATTTTCGAACAAAGTGGTTTTTAGTTAAAATTTATTCTTTATTTCCTTACCGAGTGACATTAACCATGGGTAGCGACGAGCTGTTTGGTGCACGCAACTTCTGCTGCTCGTGACCGTAACCGTATTGCTTCTTCCACCGTATATAAAACAAACGATTTTTAGCGCATTTTCTCATTTATGGAAAAAATGCACTATTGTGCTCGTCATGTCCGTCCGCCCGTCCACCCGTCAGTCCGTCCGTCTGTCCGTGACTTCACGGTTTCGTCGATTTTGAGAATATGCGCTCTCTGTCACTCACTGCAGTGAGTACTGAGTTATATTTTTTTAATAATATAATAATTATTTAAGTAGCAATTATTAGATAATAATCAATACAAAGTATATCAACCTTCTTAATGATACTAACATTTTCAGAGCGTGGGATACGGAACACCGTATTGATGGAGGACGGTTAGAAACCGTAACCGTACTCGCAGCGTCACTGCCGTAGTAGATTATGTTACAGCAGCCGTACTCGCAGCGTCACTGCCGTAGTAGATTATTTTATAGCAGCCGTACTCACAGCTCCGTTATAAGTGTGTAAGCAGTACTCTTAGGAAATATCGAAAAAAATATAACTCACTACTCACTGCAGTGAATGACAGTGAGCGCATTTTCTCGTCGACGAAAACATGAAGTCACGGACGGACAGACGGACGGACAGACGAACGGACTTGACGAGAACAATAGCGCCTTTTTCCATAAATGAAGAAAATGCGCTAAAAATAACAAGAGATCGCACGAGATGCCAGATGGAGAAGGAACAATATAAATGAAAGAGAACGAAGAAAAAGGCACGATATGTGCATAATTAGGCTGGTCGTTTTGATTGAGTTTTCATTGTGGTTAATTGAACCGAAGTAAGGAAGACCACAAGTCATTGGTTGTTTGTTCATTGGTGGGAGTTGGGGGCGGATGATGGCTTATGATGTAGGTAGGATACTGATGAATACTCAATTGGCCTCCGTTTATTTCATCTGTATCCCGCGCATTGTTGATGAAAATTTGCAAGATTTGCCGGGTATCGATTTGTTAATATTGGTCCCACATGAGCGGCTGTTGCGTAAATTGAAGTCTTTGGGAATTGAGAATAATGTACTCAAATGGATAAGAGATTTTCTAGTATAGGGAGACGACAGTGCGCAGCGGCGTGCCACAAGGAAGCTTTCTGGGTCCTGTTTTATTCGTTTTGTTTTTAAATGATCTGCCAGAAGCTGTATCTAGCGTGTGCTCGATGTATGCTGACGACACGAATGTTTATAATACAGTGAGGAATACGTCGCCAAAAATACAGTTGCAAGGTGATCTTGACAGGTTGATTAACTGGGCTGATAAGTGGCAGCTGCGTTTTAACGCTGACTAATGTAAAATAATCCACCTTGGCAAGAATAATGAACAGCAAGATTACAGTATGAGAAGACATGGTTGCAACGACAGAGTGAAGATGTCGAAGTCGCTAATGGAAAAAGATTTAGGAGTTAATCTCGACAATGAGTTGAAATTTTCTAAGCATATTGAAGCTCAAGTTAATAAAGCCAATCAACGACTTGGACTGATCAGACGCTCATACGAGTACATAGATGACGAAGCGAGGAAACTGTGTGGTGAATATTTATCGCGGCGGTAAATATTTACTGGAATAGGGGTGACCAAAGCTAGAGTTTGGAAATGCAGTGTGGACACCAATACTAGAAACGGATAAAAATTTAGTCGATAGTGTTCAAAGAATTGCAACAAGGATAATTCCGGGATTAAAAGACAAGCCTTATGAAGAAAGATTAAAGATTATGAAGCTGCCAAGCCTCTGTTATCGACGTCTGCGTGGTGACCTCATTGAAGTATAAAATATAACAAGTATACCCACGGTTTATACAAGGTCCCAGAAGAATTACTAGAATTTGATACAAGAACCAACACCAGGGGCCACGGCTATAAAGTAAAAAAAAACTGCGTTGTAACACATCCATGCGACAACATTTCTTCTCGCTTCGAGTCACCGACATGTGCATGGAACAGCCTCCCTGATAGCATCGTTGACGCTCCGAGTATGAACGCGTTCAAGAACAGACTAGATGAAGCTATGCATGCAGGTGCATTTGTTCAGTCTTAAAATGTATAGCACCTTACGGGCCTTGCAATAAGTCCAGCAGCTATCTTAATCAGTCATCAGTTATGGAAAGATCGGGTTCCAAAGGCTGGATCCCTTGTGAATCAAGTCACGAAAAGTACAAGAATCGGCAACAGCCCATGGGCCTATTTCTTCAGTGCCGACACTTCTATTTTATTCTAATATGTTTATTCGTTAAGCCTGTATTCACATTAAATGATTTTTGCACTGTATAAAATAAACCATGCGTAAAAGAGGTAATAGTCATATAATGCGCAATCCAAGTTAGGATAGGCGACAGATTTCTCATTGACCTTCATATAATCTAACCTTGGCGACACTTGTAGCCTTTATGTAGCTTCTCATCCACCGTCATACCGCCACATCTAATGCTCTAACTTAAATACTGCTTACCTCGGAAAGGTTTACAGATTTCTAACAGTCCGACTAATATTATTGAAAATAAAGTAAATATGATTTCATACTTATATCGGTTAATTAATTTCTTACTTATAACAGAACTACGTAATTGTTACTCGTATAAATTGACCGATATAAGTAAAAGCTACACATTAATTGCAACATAATTACATTATTAAGAACCTTATTTTAATTTCGTTATTTTGATCCAGTTTAGGACTGTAACCAGTTGCTGTACATGCATCTGAAATAATGATGATTAAAAGATAAGCTATGACATCGTGCTAGGGGTGACTGAACGATATGCGACGTCTGCTGAACCGTACAATCAATCTACAATCAATATATACAATATACAATCTATAGGAGATAAGAAATCTCAGACTGCAGGACTTTATCCTAGTTGGAATATACGTCAGATCGAACTGAACCTTCGTACAATGAAGACCGCATGGGCGACAAATAAAACTTATCGATATTAGGTAAGTAATATTTATAAAGAATAATATTGATAGATGACTATTTAATGCATTTTCCAATAAAATCTAAAAAATTTCAGCTTGCAATTAAATTAAGGAGATTCCCTTTCTACGTACGAATTGTACAATTTCATAAAATGATAAAGAACTATTTATTGCATTTTCCAATCAAATCTAATATTATTTCAGCTTGAAAAATAGCGAAATTCCTTCTCTAATTGCGAATTGTACTATTACACACAATATATTGCTGTTATTTCTGCGTGATTTTTATATAAACTTAATATTGAAATGTTTTAAATTGACTTACAGCAAATTGATCCGCCACGATGGCTGTTTGGCTGCACGTCGCTTTAGCCATCGCAGCGCTGCACTCGGCCACTTCTGTCCATGGTGCGCTAGGTTACTCTGTATACGTGATAAAATAGAATTTTCTCGGCTTTCATGAAGAACTTTGAGTAAGTTAGTAAATACAAATATTTAAAAAAATATATTAGGCTTCGCCATTGCATTATTATTATACTTATCAATATTTTTTATTATTATTACAACTATTATTGGCATCATAAAATAGTATTATTATAATTATTCCTTAATTTTTCTATGATTATTTTTGGGTAAAGTTAATTGAAATTACGTCAGTCAAAATGCAAAAAGTCGTTCTGGAGTGAACCTAAAAATTTGCAAACGATATTGATAGTTAATAGTAATTATAGAAACTACGTTTGATTCACTATTATAAGGATATGTTATTATCAATTATTGTCATAACAGAACATTGCAGTATCAATAAATAAGTTTTACTTGAATTTTCTACGAAAACACGCAAATATTTATTGTCATGCATGTAGAAATAAAAGAGGAAAACGAAATAACTTTCTTTCAAAATTCTTCGAAAACGAATAAATTTTTACTTTTTCCTTTTCATCAAGAGGTGATAATAAATGTCCCTGAACCATCACCCCCAGCAGGAGCGCAGGACAGCACCCGCGTGACATACCGCGCGGCGGCCGCGCAGTTCGCGCCCTACGACGACTGGGCGGGCGGGGGGGCGAAGGGTATCCTGGATACCAACTTGCGCACCATCGCCGCGCTCGCCCGCAACGCCTCCGCGCAGGTGACAGCCGCGGCACTAGTGTCATATATTTATAAAATTTCATATATATAGTACTAGTGTCATATATTTATAAAATTTCATATATATAGTACTAGTGTCAGATATTTATAAAATTTCATATATATAGCACTAGTGTCATATATTTATAAAATTTCATATATATAGCACTAGTGTCATATATTTCAGAGGAGTATCGAAGTATAGATTGTAAAAGGAAAAAAGTTGAATAAAATATTACATTGAACACTTTCAACAATAACAGTACAGCAAAATGCGATGGAGAGCGCTATCAGTAAACAATAGTTGCTGGTCATTTAATATTTGATATACTCAATATTGATATACTCGTACTCGTATCCCACGTCAATCAGAAAGCAGTCTCTCAAGTATTATTCGCAGGAGACAGTGTCAAATATCAGGCTATGATTGAAATTTTATTACATAGCAGGTATGTGAATAGGCCTACACTAACTTATACGTATATAAATATAACATCGTATTAAAAGGTAAATAAAAAATCTTATTAGTCTGTAAATAAAAAACCACATTATTCTCATAAATTTTATCTGTATAATTACTAATGTTCGTATTGTGCCCAGGGTGCAGACATAATCGTGTTCCCGGAGTACGGCCTCACGAGTACAAATCTCGGCGCCAACAGAAGTCAACTCCGCGAGCTGTGCCAGGTGCTGCCTGAGCCTGGGGACGCGAGGGTGCCCTGCGCTGAACACAGTCTCGACCCTAATTCTGAAGTAATATAAAACAAGTTTTCTGCAATGATTATGGATTTTATTTTAAAATTTTAGTCTCATTTTGAAACTGGTGGATTAAAGTGACATAATTTTGTAGGAACTTAAACGAATTGAAAAACAACTGAGACACAATCAGAAATTTTCAAGGGTATTCACTCATATGCGATCTGAACAAACTCACTCTAATGCCGGAGAAGTTTTGTGTGTGAAACTTTTTCACTGTGTTTTAATACGTCTTTTCTTACAGATGGTTCAATCGTTGAGCTGCCTCGCTCTGGAGTTGGATATTTACATTGTGGTGGATTTGGCAGAACTTGTACCTCAAGCGAACTCCTCGAACGAAATATCCGGACAAAATTCCTACTTTAATAAGAAAGATGAGCAAATAATGCAAGGAATAAAGGGTGAAAATCAACGACAGAAATTTTATGCTACAGAAACCATAGCAAGTGAAGAGGATTTTGAGGCGTATAACACGCAGGTCGTCTTCGACAGAAGAGGATCCGTGGTGGCCAGGTGACATTGAGTCTAATTCGTAGGATTCCTACTGATTCATAGGATTCCTACTGATTCGTCGGATTCTTTCTGATTCGTAGGATTCCTACTGATTCGTAGGATTCCTTCTGATTCATAGGATTCCTACTGATTCGTCGGATTCTTTCTGATTCGTAGGATTCCTTCTGATTCATAGGATTCCTCCTGATTCGTAGGATTCCTACTGATTCGTAGGATTCCTCCTGATTCATAAAATTCCTACTGATTCGTAGGATTCCTACTGATTCGTAGGATTCCTACTTATTCGTAGGATTCATCCGAATTCGTACGATTCCTACGAAATCATATAATTCCTACTAAATCACATGATTCAAACTAATTCAAAGAACATTAATAATTCGTAGGAAGCTTTCACTAATGCAGTGCTATTTACATATTTCTTCAACCGAATATGGTAAGGTGATTCATACAGGTAATCGAGAAATACCGTTTTCAGCTTAACATTTACAAGATGAAAATAATTTTTTTTCAGCATTACGATCCAGAAGGTCGAAATGTGTATCGAGGCAAAAAAGCTGTTATTCTAATTTCATCATCGTTTATTTTATTATAATTTATTATATTATATTTCTACTATAAATAGTGAAGTTCCTCTCACTTCAACATCGCTGATCAGGTACAGGAAGAAGCACCTCTTCTTCGAATCTGATTTCGTGGCGGGCAACGAAAGCGATGATACGGCGCTCTTCGTGACTGACTTCGGGGTGACGTTTAGTCTGCAAGTAATTGATGTCTAGAACGATAAACTCTTTTAATTTTAACTGAAAATTATATTTTCAGGACCATGCAATTGATAATGGTTGTTTTTAATTCGTTCATCCACTAGAAAACATTTTTACAAAATAGTTAGATAATGTTTTAAATTTCAATTTCGAAGTTGAATTAGTAGTAATTAACTTGAAAGTTCTAATCTGTGACAGTCTAAATGAAAATTTAATGTTTTCCCGTTAATTCTTCTAGTGTTTTTTCAAATAAATATTAATACAAATAAAGTTTTTCGTTAATCGCAAGGTGTGTTTCGACATCATGTACGAGTCGCCGGCGCAGTTCAACATCGTGACGAAGGGCGTGAGAGACGTGGCTATGAGTACGGCTTGGATAGACGAGCTACCTTTCCTCACAGGTGACATATATAATAAAATAATATTTATTATTATTAGGCCGTAGGCCTGTCACTGTTTATCAGGCCGTAGGCCTGTCGCTGATTCTTGACATTGCAGAACATCCACAGCATGTTGCGAGCTCGAACTCGCAACTCACTGCTTCAAATTTACTTTGCTAACCGCACGGCCTCCTTGCCGATTCTGACCAGAAACTGGCGCACAGAAATGAGATTGAACCCGTACATCTCGGTACTCTGAACTTTAAACTCTGGGCCACCCAGCCACGTAATTATCTTTTAACCGCATAATTATCTTTGGTTAACTTCATTAAAAGCATCTTCTAATTCAATTTATTCACACTATAGAAACCATTGCCAAGTTTCCTCGTCCACGATTCAAAAGAAGTTTATTACTTATCATGAGCTGAATGAACAAATATTTATTCAAATTACTGCATTTACTTTGAATCGATTTCATTCTATTGACTAGAGCGAATGTGAACAATTCCAGCGCCGCAGATCTTCAGGAGTTTCTCGCTTGGCCTCGCGTCGAACTTGATCGTGTCGAACCTCTACCGCCCCGCTGCTGGCATGCTCGGGTCCGGCATCTTCCACGGGGACCACAACGACGGCGAGAAATACACGTACGACGTGGACATCTCATTGCCGACGCTCCTGGTGGACGATGTGACGACGCTGGTAGACGCCGAACTGATGGCAGACTTTCAGTTGAAGGAGAAGATTCTGAGTGACAAGGTGGTGGGGGAAATGTCCAAGTTCCTCTCCAGTGGAGATGACAACATTAGTATGGATTTTGAGGGGACATCACTTGCGGGGCTGTTGAATGAAAATTTTGCTGGAGACATAGCAGGTTTTCTTAATAGTTCCAAACACCTGTTCGATAGTGAGAATAATGTCGAGGTTGTGTTAGAATCGATGTTTAAAGATGTTCGTCAAATAGTAGAATGGGATAGGTTCAGTCAAAGATTACGATGTTCAAAAGTTTGTCAGAGCGTTAGGTCACTACTGAAGCATGTCGACAAATGTGGCAACAATTCAATTCATGACATTAGCAACAATATATCTATAAGCCTCTCTTCAATCAGTGAAGTATTACGAAATAAAACCAATACTCCATACTGTTTAGAAGATGAATACTTGAGAGATCAAAGCCCAGACACACAGGGTGACATACCCACTATGGATTGCAAAAGCGAGTCTCCACAATACATTATACACGAAAACATATCAATGTACTCGCACGGTTCTCTACCCTTAAGCGATTTACCAGCAGTTTCGTCGCTTAAGGTTTGCGATGGCACATTTTGCTGCGAAGTTTGGTATTCATACCCTGTTGCGCAAGTTGATGATGGAATCGTTACAAATCAATCTCAGTACATGCTTCTTGTATACAATGGGACGGTAGGTAAAGGCTCTGGCACATACTTGATGTGGACTCAGACTTGTGGAGTTGTTTTTTGTTTAAACCAAACTGACGTGAACTCTTGCGCGGCGGTAGATGAGCCTCATCCTGAAATTTATTCAAGTTTCAGGCTGTTAAATATCACCGGAAACTTCGACACAAACTTTGTGTATCCAAGCGTCTTCAACTTGAATTTTGAATTGGTGGATCACTCATTTTGGTCGTTCAAAAGCCGACCGTATGAGTTAATCGTTAACGCTGATGTTGAAAATATATTAACTGCCGTATTGTTCGGAAGAGATTATAAAATGGACCCATAAGTATTATCCGAATAATATTTCCTAATTGAATTCTTGTTATGATAATTTTATCTAAGGTGTAATTTTTTTAAAGGATGAAGGAATACTTGTTAAATCAGAGTATCCAAGTTGTAGTTTAAAAAAAACGATATTGCAAACGTCAATAATCAATAATAATATGGGTTGTCGACGCTGTGGCCCAAGTATGAATACCGTTACTCAGGTTAAAAATGTGTTGATCACTTTCGATCATGCGTTTCAGTAGAAGTTGCATCAAGAACGTCCGTATCATGTTTTTTGAAGACAGGGAGATGCTAAAATAATTTTTTTATCGAACTTTTGGTGTTTTTTATATCTTTTGTGACTTGACTCGGGCGAAACTAAAATTTGGAGCAAGATTTAATCCCGAGACATTACTGTTATTTTACGCAGGTAGGGAATTACAAGATTTTCCCGCATATCCTATAATTGACCTAACGTCCTGGCTAAGTTTGGAACGCTCCCGCTCAATATTTTGACGTAAATATTTTTGATCATAGATCTTAACATTTGCTCCGTGTTATACGCGCTTTGCAGCTGGTCCTCGGAATCTGCGAAAAGACCTGCCATATATCCGCTTCAAAATATTCATTAGACAATAAAGATATGTTTCGACTCGTACAGGATGTCGAAACGGCAGGGTGGCCCAGTGGTTAAAGTTCAGAGTACCAAGATTGGCGCAGAGAGGCGCGGGTTCGATCCCAGCTCTATGCGCCAGTTTCTGATCAGAATCGGCAAGGAGGCCTGGCGGTTAAGCACAGCAGAATTGTAGCAGTGAGTTGCGAGTTCGAGACCTCAAAATGCTGTGAATGTTATGCGATGTTAAGAATCGGCGACAGGCCTACGGCCTACTAAACGCTGAAACCGCTATTATTTATTATTATTTAACACACCATGCGATTTAATTGAGATGGGCCACCTTCATAATTATCATGAAATGAAACGAATTTAAAATAAATAACTAAATAATTTAAATAATATTCAGTTATTTTATTAAATAAAAATTTTAATAAAGTTACAGAAAACTATCCCATGCTTTAAACTGTTGATGACTGACTTCTGGTGATGATGTGGTGGTTACTGATATTTTAGTAGCAATTAAAAAGGGTTAGCGTTTAAGGTTCATCCGAAGCAAAAATATTTTTTTTTATTCTGGAAACGAAAATGGACGGAGAAATGAGGAGACCATTACGACGTTACCAAAGCTGTTGAATATCGAAGAAAATTTGTAAATTGAATCAAATATATTTATTGGTACTCTTAAATAAACAGTTGAAAAATTAATGCTCTATAGAATCTCCATAGAAACAAGAAAGACATGTAAAATCTATCTTCTAACAGATCATCATGAATGTTCATGTTCGGAGGTGTATGAATACTCACTAGATTCTTCTTGCGAACTTATACTCTCATCAATTCATCAATAAGTTATTCACTTCGCCACAACGGACTCTCTTCGTTCAGACAACTTATGCGTTGTACACTTCGAAATCATCTTCGATGGCACTCGAGTTTAATAAATTGTGCTCATATTTAGGTACTTTAATAGGAGTTCGTTTGAACTACGACAAGTTCTGCCAAATGCACATACTCAATTCCAGAGCAAGGTCTTCTGAACCATCAGTGAACAAAAATCATTTTAAGCGAGAACCGTTCAAACTCACATATTACATGGAACTCTCATTTGACTCTCGTTTCAAAATAGGAAATAAATTCGTTTATTTTCAAATGATATTTATAGCTACCATTTTAAACACATAATTTTAATTTTTGGTCCAATCCCTTCCTCCCAGTTTTGCAGTGCTGTGCTGGTCTGCCATTGTGAATGAACTCTCAGGTCCATTCAATATCCAGACACGATGACTATCGTGGATACGCGCCAAAACAGCCCATGTGTGCGGTGCCAGGCTTCAAGCACACAAAGAAACCCACGCACAAAATTCTAAATATTTAGATAAGTACATTTTGCTCGTAGTTGCACGTATTTCACGACGAGATGATGCGTTCACTGACACCCGTGAAATAGAGCACTTTAATACAAACGTACTTAACTCTTTATGACGGAACTATTTCCTAGAGCCTATGAATCTAGTGCTCAGTCATTTTATCCGTTCCCATCTTTTCTTGTGTCTATTTATTTTTCGCTTGGTATTAATCTTATGCGTGACGTGCCCTCGAAGTTCGTTTGAACCAGACGCTGCGATAAATGTTTCGTGGTATAAAAAATAATAATAACTCTCATTGCACCGCTTTTGTGCTGCATGCATCTCAATTGATCCGCCATTCGTTGCTGCAACTCATCCTAAACCTGCCGTAACACCGCATTAATTGAAGATCTTCTCACCCTGTAATTTTTTTCCGATCTTGTCTTCAGCGCACGGCATCCGCGCATCCCCATGAGGATAATGGCAGCAATTGACTTCTGTTGACGTTTTCAAGGGATACTCGTCAGGCCGTACTCGGGGAATACTACGTATAATGTCAGTACCCGGTGGGGGAAATGCCCATTTCATTTATCAAATTTATCGAGTAACAGCTTTAGTGGTTTGTAAAGTAACCTTTAAAAAAATATATTCTTACATTATCATTTTATGCACCTCATTAATATCGCAGGAAGTCAATTATTCGCATATTCAGCCATATTATCGTTGTTTTGATCATAAATCCAGCTACCTAACCTACTGGAACACAAAGCTCCATAAATTCCGAAGAATTTATTTGACAGTCTACGTGCATGTTACTTATCACTTTCTGCCACTATACTTCACTATCTGCGCACGGAAGCCTGATGTAAAATATCAACATATTTATAATTGTACAGTCGTTATACAAAATCAATGGGCCTAAAATAGCATGATAAGTATTTATCCATTTGCACACACTCACTAAAAGCCAACTGTCCTTAAACTGCTCGATGTAATTTATTTATTTTCATCTATTTCACAAACTATTCGTGAACATTTCCCCAATTGAACGACCTGAATGTTTGCTTCCATGAAATTCCAGTAAATCTTCACTGCTGCAGCTGTCACCTGTGCGGAGATTACTGGCCGCCACTATTCCAGTAACATAACTGGCCGCCACTATTCCAGTAACATAACTGGCCGCCACTATTCCAGTAACATAGGATACCCTTCGCCCCCCCGCCCGCCCAGTCGTCGTAGGGCGCGAACTGCGCGGCCGCCGCGCGGTATGTCACGCGGGTGCTGTCCTGCGCTCCTGCTGGGGGTGATGGAGATTCCCTACGTAACTATCGAAAGCACATACAATCGTACACTGATATCACTTGTTTGGTAATGTACTTCATTTGATTTCGACACAGAAATTCAAGATTTCAATATTAGATACTCAAGATTGAAACTTCGATGAATGATTCATGGAATTTAACATACATCATTTGCTATGTTCAATAAATAGATTCTTAAGAATGCAGGCATCCACTGTAGAAACCTACCAGCAGCAAAAATTACTAAGATCGCACAGACTGCGACCAGGACATTGATGATCCGAGCAGCCATTATTAAGGGTAGGATTCCTACAATATTACTGGTGGAAGTTACAAATTAATCACCATTAATATTGTTTAACACAAGAGAAGTTGTACGAATAATTTTTCTGCTGTTATTAAATATCCCGGCTCGTAGAAAAACGATTGATCAAATTCGATCTCATATTCCATCTTTCATTTATCAAACTATCGCAGGTAGATGGGTATGAACCTGCAATTTGCTGCTCCAATATTGGTAGGTATTCTAAACTGTAACCTCTCGGCCACCTTGACCTCATAAAATAAAGTTTTGCTGTAGGATTTTGATGAGCTTATGGGTTGGTTATAGAAATAGAAGCTTCGAGTCCACTAAACACTGCGCAAATTAATGCATATAGGAGCAAGAACAAATAAGAGACAACAAAAAAGCTGTAATCAAGATAATAATTGACCGCGTTCTAGCAAAAGTCAACCTGTAAATTGGACCAGTGTCCATGTAAGCTATTCATGGATGTTAACCCAGCAAATAAAAAGGGCAATAGTAGACCTAATAACTAATTAGCAGCCTCATTGGCCCAGCATGAAGGTGTTGCTGCAAACAAACGAGGGGTGGATAGCTAGAGGTCAACATAGCCCAAGTCCACAGTGCGATTCATATACCTTCCCGAGCGTAACGCAGCCGGGCATCTTCACGGCTTTTGACACAAAGCGCCCACCACAACAGCGCCGTTCAGTCACAGGCCGGAGCGCATACAGGCCGGAGCACAACTGGCCGAAGCGCAACAGGCCCTACCGCAACAGCTACTCCTAACGTGACCTAACCTAACCTGCGCCGCCTGTTGCGGTAGGGCCTGTTGCGCTCCGGCCAGTCGTGCTCCTGCTCTGTGAAGCAGTGGCTGTGTTGTGCAAAGCGGATTTACTTTTAGCCGGAGTTACCCACAGCTCATTGATCTGAGGCTATGTGTAGATATTGCATGCTGATGGTTGGCGTTGGGCCCAGGGTCTGTTTACGAGTCAATTTTGTTACCCACGGCTGCGCTCCCCAAACGAGAAGCTTGTTTATTATGCAGAGCACTATAAATTGATAAAAACCACGAATTTAGGCCCTAGGCTTTACTACGAACCATCAACCAGGCAGTGCAGATTTACACCACTCTAGCCTCTCCTTTATGTCGCTTCTACTTGGCTTGGTCTCCTTTTTCCCTTCCTACTAGCAAAATGAATATGCGATATGTGGCTGATGGCCGTTGTAAGGGCCTGACTCGAGAATGTCCTTTTTTTTAGTCACCACGCACCAAATCCAAATCCATCACGCGGTCGCATCTATTCACATGGCGTTATTTTTTTGATTATAATGGTTTGAATTTATTATTATATAAACCAGGCACTATCACCATCGTTTTCATTATTCTACATGCCGCAGGAAAATTTATTTTTGTTAAGGAATATTTCAAATCTGTCGTAGCTGAAAAATCCGTTCCCAATTCCTTTGCGTATCATTTATTGACAATTGTGTAAGGAAAAATTGAAATTTTAGAGTATGTACCGCAATCGAAAAAAGTACGCATCAATTTAAGTAAAAATCTTAGTAGGCGTTTCAAATTTAGCGACATGTTATGCTCTTATATCCCGGTTGGTCATGCTCCTAAATCGAAGGTATTTCCGCTAACTAAACTGTGCATTGCAGGTCATTTACACGCTTCACGCACTGTGTGTGTCATAATGAAACAATACTAAATTTCAGCACTTGTAGTTTTTTTCTTGACGTTGTGAACATACATGAGACTCATCTATATTGACATTTCGAAAACCGGTGAGAAAAAAGCTCGGTCAATGATTTTTCGAAAAGATTTCTGTGTCATGAAAATGATAAAATTGAACGTTGACCCAGTATAGGACTATAGGATAGGTACCTTCCATACAATTCTAATAATTCAATCTGATCAGATTTATATTGACATTTCTGGAGCCAACTAGGCTATTGTAATATTTTTTTCTAGGCGTGTGTATAAAGTATTCATTATCCTAGGCTACATTGATATTCCAAAGCAAATTTAGGCCATAGTGGCAAAGCAGAGAGTTTTTTAGACTCTCCCTCAAGTTCATTTTTGAGTCCTATAAGTAGACCAGTAAAGTATCCTGGATACCAGCATTATCATACTTAAGAAATTGGTTTAAATCTTGAGTAAATGAGGATATTAAAAATGAACTGATTCTAAAAAAGCTCTGGTTTGCCACTATGATTTAGGCAAATTCTTAGGGTAAACGCGGTATATTCCGACATCGTGGGTAATTCCGTGGCGTCACCTCTCTAGTTTTTCCTTTGTAGGTATTAAGCTTTGTTTTAGTTCCATGCGTTCGTTGATGGTTGAAATGGTGACGTCATACATTTGTGCATCGAACTAATGCCAAAACACTAGGTCTTGGCCATCTAGCGGGAAAATATTGAGATCCAAAGCGAGACAATGCACACTACTTGATACTTGATACTTGATAAGTTCAGTGTAAAAGGCCTTGTGGCCTGTTCACCACGCCTGGTTGGGGGGTTGCTTCTTGACTATTTGGCCTAGTTGGGTTGCCCGTTGCTTCTTGACTACTTCTCGCATGCGTGGCTAGCAGTTAGTCTAGAAATGCCAAAAGGGTAACTAATGACAGCATTCGGGGTCGTACTGTTCTCTGCGTGTTGCCCAGTGCTTTTCAAGCCTGATCTTGAAGGCGTTAATAGAGGAGGGGGCAGTGATGACGCTGTCTGGCAGGCTGTTCCATATTGACACGACTCTGTAGGAGAAGTAGCCGGCTCTGATGTTCAGTCTGCACCGGCCCTTGGCGAGTTTCAGGCTGTTCCCGCGGGTATCTCTGCCGTCATGAAGGTGCAGCTGGGGGCGGTCAGCTTCGTAGGCGCCGTGGACGTACTTGAAAGCGTCGATCATGTCCCCCCTTAGTCTTCTGTGCTCCAAGCTGGGTAGACCGAGCGAGGTGAGGCGTTCTGGGTACGGCTTGTCCTTGAGGCTTGCGATAAGCTTGGTTGCCCTCCTCTGAACCAGGCATGCATGGTGGCAGGGAATTATTGTGAGTACTTATGCGTTTGCAAGAGCATCGACCGGTCCGGCTCAGCGGGGGGGGTCATGAGTGATTGGCCCCACAACATGAGTGATTGGCCCCACAACTTCAGTGATAGCCACAACATGAGTGATTGGCCCCACAACATGAGTGATTGGCTCCACAGGAGCACGAGATGCAGCTGGCCCAGCGGGCCGTGGCCTACATCAACACAGACACGTGCGCCTCAGGGCCTTACGTACAGCTGAAGGCCTCACCGCTGCTCTGGGGCCTCAACCTTAACATCGAAATGTTTTAGGGTAAAATTAGAGATTTGGGATAACACATGCATGGACTTTGTAAATAAATTCGCGCCTCGTAAATGGCATTTCATGGCCGAGATATGGAAGTCAAGGCTTGGTGAAATGGAATCACGGCTCAAAGAAATGGAATCACGGCTGGCAAATCCATAAAACCAAGGCTCAAAAAATTCAGTCGGGGCTCGCCAAGTAGATATATTCCATGCCAGCTCAGGATGATGTATGTTTTCGGTGAATTTTCCCGCGCATTTTCACTTTTTTTAAGCTATTGCTGTGCACAGTTGGCGCAATGTAATGAAAATTGATTCTCTTCGCGCACGTGTTCGCGCAATCCCGGCCATCAATTCTACGTTGCGCTGCCGCGCACGAGCAGTTTGTGGAGGAACAGACGTAATACTCACATTACTCAGTACAGTATGCCTTTAATTATCTTTCAATAATATATGATTTTTCTTGATACGGAAATTTGGTGAATGAGAAATCTAGAACTTTATTTTAGAAGAAATTTTCCCCAAAGTCATATGGCAACACTGAACACCTACACCGTCTGTTTACATTTTGTATGTATAATAGCCGCAGTTTACGATTACCGTACGTTCAGTATCCGACAAGGCGGACAAGCAGAAGAGTCAGAAGTAACCCGGACATGTCTTACATTTTATTATTGTCAGTTCGTCTCGCGTAGTCAAGATACTCGCATATATTGTCGACTAAAATAGTATAACTATTTTAGCTTTCTAAAGTATGGCGCACGGCGCATTTTTTTACCAGCATAGTACGGCGCAACGCGCAGGTCGTTAAAATGACAAAATAAATTCCCGCGCACCTGGCACATCTTCCTGACCATGGGCTATACCTATATTGTTGATTTGATTTGTTATCATATTCTTGAAAACGTGCAAGCTGCAAAGTAATTTTCAAGGTCTTTGTGCCAGTTATAATCGCTACAAATGATCATATCTATCTTTGTTGACTCGGCATGTGAATGATGTGATGTCTAAAATTTATCCGTCTAATAGTCTAGTCCATAGTGGCAAACCAGAGATTTTTTAGAATCAGTTCATTTTTAATTTCCTTATTTACTCAAGATTTAAATCATACTCTTACACTGAGCTCGTCAGAAACTGCGGATACCTGCACTTCCTCCAACTCGCTTGCGTGTGGTTCGAAAACCGATAAAAAGTCGGCGACTCTTCCCTCCAATACATCACTAGTCATGTATCCGTATTGACAAATTTTGTAATGAATATGTTCCAAAATAAAAAAATAAAAATTACGTAAACTTTTGCAGAAAATTCTCACAATTTCACCAATACCAACAAAGTTCTCGAATCCACACGGAATGATGGAATAAACTGCTAATATTTCACGGCGTATGGCAACATTGTGTTGACTTGACATTAGACAAGACTGTGTCAGACACCTTGTTTTGGTCTTGTAAAGTGCAATTTCATAATAAATAGATTTGATCTATATTTCACAGTGACATTTAAATGATGGAAAATTGTTTCAAAATTTAAACATCAATTGATACGCTTCTAAATACAAATTTATTCATGTTTTTGCCCTATAATGTCGAATTTGTCTTAATAACTTCACTTCACTTCAAATCCTGAATGATTTTGTCTCCCATGGCAAGTTTTTAAACGTCTTGTGTCTTTTAGAAAACGTTGGTTGTTTATAAGCAGTAATTATTTTTTTTAATGAACCAAAGAAAGTTTAGTCATCGAAATGACAAAATCATTAAATTTAAAATATTAAGTTATATGAGTGAGATCATCAATTATCAAAGAAGCTGTAAGAAAAAAATTGTTGTTTTTGATGTAAAAGAATGTTTTTAATTTAAAAGAAATGCAATACCTGATTTTCAGAAATATGATGCAAAAATTAATGATCCCTATTAGAATTCAACACTAATCAACAGACGCGACTCATTCAGAATTAAATTGAAAAAGTTGGTACCTATTTGAAATTTATGATTTTACAAATTGCTTAATTGAATGCAGTGCAGAAATTCAAGATCACCTATGGGTATGAATTTAAGTCTCATGACTGGAGATCTCAAAATTTATTGTACTACCACGTATGTTTGATACATAAGCTTTTTGTCCTATTGATGAAGAGTTTAGTTAGGTTCTATTGACTGTAATAGGTAGAACGATGCGACATATTTGTGGCCATCCAACGATCGGTTGATGGCTTTGACTCTTGATACCACTGTACAAATATTGCGGTGGACACATCTTCCAGAAGTTTCAATGCAAAGATTCTTATTTAAAGGATAATGAATTACTCGAATTACTCCCACCTATAGATATAAATGAACATTATTCAATTTATTTTAAACGTTTTTCATGAATTCGCATTAAAATATTTATTTTGAAATCAACCATGTCAAAGTAACGAAATAATTTGTTATAGTTTTAGGCTTCCAAAAATATTTCAAATCTCTATCAGAAATATCATAATTAATCATTCTCTTGCATTGACTATATTAACGTTATGATCCGTGCCGCCGCTGCCGCGATCATCATTTGTTTTTGCAGTTGCATGCCGGGCGACTGCTTTTGTTGTTCTATGTATTCTCACTCCCATGAATTGCGTGATTAGTGTGTGCATCATGATCGAAAAGTCTGCTTGACAGCGTAGTCACGGTAGCTGTAAAGCCTGTAATTACTTTATTAAGTTTACTTCTTTGCAGTCATATTAAGAGACAAATCTTTAACAAACTAATACTTTGTAGAATTTTAATTGTTGAGTGAAAGCTGCGCCTGCAGCCTTGCTGGCACGCAACATTTCCAAGTGAATTACCTTATAGAAACTTAGCATACCCATACCTACGTGTTTTAAGCCTATAAGAAGTTCATTTTTTTGCCTCAAATAATGTTGTATCGAAAAACTGGTGTAGGTGTATCGGGAATAATATATGAACCGTCAATATTAGAATTCCATCCTGAGTCTAGTACCTAGGCCCTAGGGTAAACGCGGTATATTCCGACATCATGGGCAATTCCGACACCTCTCTAGTTTTTCCTTTATATTAAGCTCTGTCTTAGTTCCACGCATTTGTTGATGGTTGAAATAGTGACGTCATACCTTTGCATGCCAAACTATTGCCAAAACATTAGGTTTGGGCCATCTGGCGGGAAAATGTTGAGATCCGAAGATAGACAGTGCATGCCACCCTGTGAGATCATCGAAAAATGTGTCAAAGTTGATAGTTGACCTTGCTCTACCAAATAGTGATAAACTGTTTGTGTAGAAAGAATATTATGGTTTGAGACTTTTAAATACATCTGTGAATATATTAAGAATCCTTTAAGTATACTTCACTCATACTTGTATATGCTGATTTCAAGTGGTAAATAAATTAATAGATGATTAAGTTGAGAAACGGATTTAGACACATCAAAACTAATTCTGACACAACTTGAATTGGACACACACAGCTCGT